CCCATGCCAATAGTCTCATGGGTCCTCCAGGCCCAGTGCTACACAGGGAAAAGTGAACAATTTCAGCTCTGCATCTGCGCAGAATCTTTCCAAAACTCAACAAGTAAATGGCGCATGCCATCATGAATTCAGAGTTTCTCAAAAAAGTGTCCATTCATGTAAGATTTTTCTTCCCATCTCTACAGTGTGAGTTAAATGGAACCCTAACATCTAAACAGTATGTAAATGCTGTGTACGCAGCAGAGGAGAGAAAGGAGAGTCAGCTTATTTTAAAATTCATTTAAAAAAATAACAAAACGTACTTGAAAGCAGTATGGTTCCTTCTGCTAACACTGAGATCACATTCAGCTTAATGACAAATCATCTGCTCTGCCATGAAGTGGAAACAAACTTTAGTTGGAACATACCTTTCACCTTCCAACTTAGCCCAATACTGAAAAAAACTCTGACCCCTATCTAAAGCCACCTGATTCCTTTGTCACACAATAGTAACATACAACACTTGAGCACGTTCCACAGCACAAAAGGCATTTTCAGCGATCTGTAATGAGCAGAGCTGCGTAGAAATCACGTCTCCAGGTGTTTTACCACAGACTGCTGTGAGAAACCACAGTGCATTCCTTATCGGGAGAGCGAGGCATCCACCCTATGGTCTCTACTCATGCAAAACCACCAGTACATGGCCCAAACTTGGCACGACGTTCAGCGAGACACGCTTATGCTTTTGGCAGAAGGGACCTGACCACTTTCAGCATCAGCGTCCTTTGCCAGCTGGCCAAAGAGTACACAGATGCAAGGGAAGCAAATTATCTGCCCACTGGCAAAAAGAAATGCTGAGCAGCACCTAAGGAAAAAGTGTGTGTGCGTGCATGTGTGCACGTGTGCGAGTGAGTATGCACGTGAGCATATATATATATATATATACATGCACCTGTGCTTTGGGAAAGGGAGTAATACAGTTAAACTGGAAAAATTGTCTGCTACTAGCCCTGTGGTATCATTTTCTGCAACATGCGCACAACAACAAACAGGCACTCTATCCATCAAAATCTTCCAAGTTGAATTTTAAAGATTAAACACGAGGACTGCATGGATGCTAAAGAAAAATCTTCTATGAAAGTCTGAAATCCGACCCCTTCAAGAAAGTGTCCACACAATCACTTACAGGATTTTAGCAACTTAAGGTAAGTATGGATCAAGGGCCTTTGGAAAAAACACTACACATCAATATTTGGTAAAATACAAAAAGCCTTCTGGGTTCGGAAGAGATATGAGAAATGACTCAGAAAAATTAACGGGACAAGAATTTGCAGCTGGTAGGTAAGGTTTACTGACAGAGGGAATCTGCCTGTAGATTAATTAGATTCTGCAATCACAGCCCCTTTTCACCCATACACATCCCACCTCTATCATTACATGATCAACAGATTTTAATGAAAACTAATGCTTTCTTTTAAGAAATTCCATAGGGACTACATGTAAGGCGGAGTTTACTTTCCTAAATATTTCTTGAAAATTGTGCATAACGCAAGTGCACATTTGTTGGCCGTAAAGGTGTACAACAGCAATTTTTTGCAATGACAGTGCAGAGAGGGAATATGAGATCTGTGTGCTAATGAGCTGACACTGCAGAGGCTAGAGCAGTGTTAGTATAGTGCACTACAAGTGCAGAGCAGAAAGACATACACGGGCCGTTTCTAGGGAATGTGATCTACAGAACCGTACGCATAATTCAACATTAATACTACCATCCTTCAGCAGAGGTTGTAAGAAAAGCATGAAAGACACTTCAGTGATGAATTGATACATTTGAGTTGTTATACTCACATAATTCTGAAAAAGCCATCTCACTCCCTACATGAGCATTTCTGAAGGAAATAATATCTGTTTTACTTGATTTTATTCATTCACAGGTCAAGTTAACTTTCTTCCTTTGTTTTTTTTCTAATGTCAAAAAGCTGCATATTTTAAAAGATGTAATAAATGCCCCCAGAGCCAACTGATAAACTTCAATTCACCTTTAAATACACTTAAATTTTCACCTGTGTTTGCATTTACTCTCTGTTAAGATACCATACAGCTAAATAAATAGGTGGGCAGATAAATACAGAATGGATGAATACTGTATGCATGTGTGTAAATTAAATATACAGAGAGGGGCTCGGTGCTAGCAGGGAAGCAGGGAATACATGCACATAAATCAGACTATGCATCATTTAACTGAAAAAGGAATGAGAGGGAGGGGCTTAGGGCAGGAATTTTCTTCTGCTTCTAAACAAGTTTGTTCCTATGTTGGGATATTGCCAAATCAGCCCTACCAGAGATGGGCTTTTTATCTCTGGCTCATGAGGATACTTCAGAAGAGATTTTTTTTTTTTTCTCCTGCCTCTGGAATGCACCAGATTGCACCAAGCGGGATGTGCAGCTGTAAGAACATAAGTCTTTCCCAAGCAGAGCCCCCCTCAACTCCTGCACACATGAACACTTGCGAGAGCCACTATCATATAAATCAAAGCAAAGGAGAATGAAAAGTATTATTTTACGGACACTGGCTAGTACAGGCGCTAGGCTCAATCTTCACATGCTTTCCCTGATTTCCCTTCAGTTCGTTTACCCATCCCATCACAAAGTCAGTCACAGTCTCCCTCTCCAGTCAAGGCAGTCAGAGTCACTGCAGGTTTCTCTCCTGTGGATCCCTGCCAACTGCAAATATTGATCAAACGGTTGTGTGACAGCACTGGAGACAATTTATACTTATCTCCAAAAGAAGTAAAAATGTTGTGGAAAGAATTCCTTCATGGATATGGCAGTACCCTGAAATCATCTGCCACTCCACTGGGAAGTGAGGATGTGATTAAGCGTACTTAGGCCAGAACATTTTACGTTAGCCAGGTAACGTGAGGAGCCATTAGTTCACCCTAACGCATCAACACGTACAAGCATTCTGACTTCCAAAGATCCAAAAAGAACAACTGCTCTGTGGTTTTTTTTTTTTTTTTAGTTTTGAGCTACTGAGACCTACATGACTTGGACTCACCATATTCTTTTCCTACCAACAGTATTACCAGATGGTTGACATAGCTATGGACAAGGTCACCCTTTCATTTTCTTTCTTCTGTTTCTTTTTTCACATCTTCTATTTTTAAATAGGTTATTGTAGCTTGGTATTCTCTGGTTTACGGTTCCTCCAGAGATTTCAGTTTTCCCAATTTTACTACACTGGTAATATGTGTGTTGGAACATGCAGCCCTACACTACAGAAAACCAACTCATCTTACTAAAATCGCCACACCTTTCACTGAGCAATGACAAAAATCATTAGATGTCAGAAGAGGAGAAGCACACTGACTAAATAATACATTGACATCCTCTGAACGAGCGTGTGGTTCACTGGCCCTGGTGGGATCTGTAAAGAAGTGCTGGTAGAACTTTTAAAAAACAATTAATAATTAATCACCCAAGCAGTTTAATGATTTAGTTTAAATCCATATAATTGATATTTAGGAAACCATGTTTGAGATGTAGCCTCTTGAAGGGATTACACTGATTAAGGATTAATAGTCTGATGTTTGTTGTAAGAGCTGTTGAAGCTGGATAGCAGTACTAAAATAAGATGCAAAGTACAGACATGCTTTTATTTACCATTTTTTTCCACTTTACCAAATATTTTTGTTGGATATTATATAAATTAACTCCCCTCCAAAAGTTTTAAAGGTCCTAATTCAAAGCCCTTTAAAAAGTGTAACGCTGCACTAGCAAGAAGCAGTCACATGGGGGATATGTTAGAATATCAGTCCAAAATTTGTCCAAATATTTCCTTATTGTGTGTTTTCTAACCACCAACTTTCTCATAAAATACATGAAATCCTAGAAGAACAAAATATCTACTTGTCCAGCCTTCAGATTATACAGCGTGGGACTGAAATATAAGAACTATCCTACCCTCAACAAACAAAAAATTAAATAAGATAACTCAAAACATGAAATTGTTTTAAAGCAAGAGATTCTAGTTTTCTGTACTCCAGTACTTCATTATTTTAGTACAATGCTTCAGCTTTCAAGATTTTATACTGCGAGTATATGAACAGGAATCCTGTTTATAACACAAAGTTGGTACATTGCATGCAGAGGTCCTTTAGATCATGTACCTACATATTTCTGTACACTGCAAAGTGCGTGCAACTACCTCGCAAGACGACTCTGTTCATTTTCAAAGGTTTACAATAAAAACTGTATAAAACTGAATTTGGACACATCAGTAAAACAAATACTCAGGAACTACTATTGGTAGAGGAATGCTTTTTTAAATGCAGAACACGCAGCAGTCTTTCAGAAAGAGATTTCGCATTTTAACACCACATTAACACTACTCAAAGTTCTATTTTGCTTCTTCGGTTAATAAAGGCTCAACTTATACACATGCACTGCCTGTGCAGAGCTATTTCTCATCATGCTAAGCGTTCCGATTCCATTTTCTCTGCCCTCAGCTCTAACGTTATTTGTCAGTTTACAGTCTCCTCAGCTTTTAACAGGACCTTCACTGTAAGAAAACAACCCAGTATTTCAGGGCAGAGGAGGCAAGTAAGCCCCTCTCGCTTTGTCCCCTCAAGGTCACTTGTAAATAGCTGTTTCTGTTTTATTTCTACACGGTATTACTTGCAACTTACGCTGTTTCACACGGCTAGGCTGTACCCTCAACAGAAAAGGGATGTTACTTCAGTGGCAATTCACTGATCACAGCTACACAGGACTGTTATATAAATAACATGGTGGTTTTTCTGGGAAACAAAACTAAAGGGGTGAAAAGAAGTGGCAAGAGAACTTTCCCTAAGGTATTATTCAACCACATAACACTGCAAATCTACTAAACCTCATGTCGGTACACACATTTGTTGCACTGTATTGTATGAACAAGAACTCTAGGCTACCAGGAAGAAACTGAATGTAAGGATAGATAACAAATAAACATTTTTTTTTTTAAAAAGCATGTATTTACTTACAAGCATTTGTCACCGAAAAACTGTTGGAAGAGTCCAAATGATCTACATGATAGTTCAAATGGAAGGGCTTTTCTGTGGTATTTTGGTTTGTGTTGTATAACTGCACAGCAAATCGAAATGCACTGTGCTCCTGAACAGTGTTCCTCATGAAAAGTCCACCTAGGAGGCAAAAAAAGGAGAAAAGGGAGAAGGTATTTCAGAATGAATCCTAGAAGCAGTGGCAATACGTTACATTTACATACTGCACATCTCAGGGAAGAACGAACGGGAGCAGCCTGAGCCCGAGCACGCAATTCTGACAGAGCGGGTACATGTAATACACGCTCCAAGTCCGAAGTTCGGCTTTTAAAGCCACACATCACATCCAGGTGACCCCGGAGCGACCGGGAGCCACCGGGAGCTGCAGGTGCACCGTGAAAACCAGGCCACTCAGGCACGGATGCCCACACACGGATTTAAAAGTCTGACTCGGGGAACTGCGGCTCTGAAATGACCCCCAGATCAAACTGCGGCTCCGAAATGATCCCCAGACCCAAATAACGTCTCCGTAGAGTTATTCGCTACGGACGCGGGCGGCGTGGCAAACGTGCGGTTCTGAACGGTCTGGTGGAGAGCACGCACAGCTGAGCGCTGCTCCAAGGGAAAGGCAGGGGAAAAACCCAAGTTTCGCTCGCACGCCCTCAGCCTCACGGCTCATTCGGCCCCAGGTTTAGGGCACGTCGTTACAAATTCCCGCCGTTCCT